TATTCCTGGGGTGGGAGACCGTAGATACCAGTAAAACACAGATGAGATGAAGTGGAAACTCTGCAGTATCATTATCAACCTATGATGTACTTTATATTAAAAACAAACATATAAACACATTTCCTAGCTCTGACCACTGAAAAAGCCTAGAAGCAGCTGTCATGTCACATCATGTCATGTCAAAAGGACTCAGGAGCCAAACTGAGAAGCTGCAACTGGCCGAAGACAGGGGACTCAGTTAGAAAACTGGCTGTAGTGGAGTTCACAGTGAAATGCAGAAAATTACTTAAGTAAATAGACAGACAAACACGTAAATAAACAAACAGGTCACCCCTGGAGGACATTTAAGAATCAACACATTATTCTGAAAGCCAACTCATCATTTTTATTCTAAGAAAAGGGGAGAATCACGCCTCCATATAACCGGGCAGCCAAACGGCTGATGAGGGGAACCTTCTCTTGATAGAAACACACGCTGCTAATAAGGGAAAAAGGAATAACAGGATTCACCAGTTTTTGAAGCCCCAGATGAGTTAGTGGATGCAGGTGTCAATCATCAGTGACTGCTGATACCACAGAAAGAGACAATCAAGTCTCCACAGAACACATCCTCACCTATGAAACTGTGTCCCTCCCCCTCAAAAAATTAAAAATAAAAATTCAAGCTTCATTCTGATCAAGTCTCCAGGTCCAACTACCCATCTACAGGAAATAAAAGCATTGAAAAATATGTTAACAATACATGCAATGCGATCATCGAAATCTAGACGAGGCAAACTACCTAGTTTCTTTTAAAAACTAATTCAAAGAGGGGAAAAAAAGTGAGAGAGGCATGGAGAGAGAACATACCGATTAAGTAAGAGTTCAGAGACCTAGGTCCCGGGCCCTTCAGCACCCTCTACGGGCGGGTCCTGGCCCCGCTGCCCGGGCGGGCCGCGGGCGCGGCCTCCGGCGGAGGCGGGAGCAGCTGGGGCGTCCCGGGTTCCCGTGCGCAGCCGCTGGGACGCGCGCAGTTTGGGACTCGCGGCGGTGCTGGCAGCACCAGTACAAGCGGCGGGGTCGCTAACAGCGTCTGTCCGACCCCCTCCACGATGTCCAAGGCAGAAGTGGCCAAGAAGCTGGCGGGGCGTGCGGCCGGGGAGAACCACGTGAGGAATAACCAAGTGCTGGGAACTGGAAGCGGTTCTACAATTGTCCACGCTGTGCAGCGATAGCTGAAAGAGCGAAACAGGAGAATCTGAACCCCGTCTGTATTCCCCCCTTCCTTCCAGGCCCGTCACCTCGTCCTGCAGTACGGCTTAACTCAGTGACCGGGACGACACCCAGAGACTGACCTCGCCATAGACGGCGCTGATGAAGTAGATGCTGATCTCAGTCTCGTCAAGGGCAGTGGAGGCTGCCTGACCCAGGAGAAAATTGTGGCTGGCAATGCCAGTCGCTGCATTGTGATCGCCGATTTCAGGAAGGATTCAGAGAACCTCGGGGAGCAGTGGCACAACGGAATCCCCATCGAGGTCATCCCCATGGCCCATGGCCCCGTGAGCCGAGCCGAACCGAGACCCAGAAGTTTGGGGGCGTGATTGAATTTCGACTGGCTGTGAACAAGGCAGGCCCCCTGGTGACGGATAACGGGAATTTTATCCTGGACTGGAACTTTGACCGGGTACACAAACTGAGTTAACACAGCTATCAAAATGATCCCAGGCGTGGTGGACACGGGCCTGTTCATCGACACGGCCGAGAGAGTCTACTTTGGGATGCAGGATGGCTCCGTGAACATGAGGGAGAAGCCTTTCTGACCCGACCCTGCGGGAGCGGCCTGTGTTCATCTCGAGTCCCCAGCCAGCAGCCAAGGCGGATACGCCTCTCCAGGAGCCTTTGCCTCAACGTATCTGGGCCAGGTGGACAGCTTGGCAGGGTGGGGGGTGAGAGGCTTAAATCCAGTCTTCTGAAGTATTGTTATTAAATGTCTTTTAAAAAAGAGAAATATAAACATATATTTTTACTATTAAAAATACCCAGTTTTTTATGAAATAGAACTTGATTTCATGTTTTATATGAAATATTTACCAAAAATAAAAAGAGAAGAGGACTGACTTTTAAACTTTTAACTGAGCCTGTGGTTAAGCTTCTGAATATTGGGTTTGCTGAGAATGTAAGTCACAACTTTTCTTTAAACTAGTGAAATGAAGGGCCCAGCCAGCAGTAATTCCCACATGCCTTACTGGAAACTTTGACGTTTGTTTACTTTTCTAACACACTGTTTTGGTTTTAGTTTTTGTTGTGATCATGCACAATATATATTTATGTGTTTTAAGATGTGATTTATGAAAGTCTGGTGAGTGTAGCGACGTGGTATGTAGTGTCTCCGAATGTGTAAATTATCAGGGGGGAAATGTGGGGGTTCTTTTGCTGAGATCAAGGGGTTCATTCAGACCCCTGTGGTTGGAAGCAACTGGCCAGAAATCCTTGCCAGTACTGCCAAAGCACTGCTGTGAAACACCTATAAACGATTGTCTTGTTTGTATTTTTTTGTTGTCGTTCCTTTATTATTACCTCCATTGTTTGGCATCAGAAGTTGTTATCTCTTTCTATTGTTTGAGGGTTGAAATAAAACAGTACGGTGCCATTTTGAAAAAAAAATTAACAGAGACCTAAGATCAGAAGCAGAGTTCCGCTGCCACAGGGGGACATAGTGCATGGAGGGTTCACCGAGGCGCAGGCGGCGAAGCTGAGGGCTCGCGAGGAGAGTGAGGAGGTGGTGGGCGACATCTTGGAGGTGCTGGTGGACCCAGTGATGGATGCCGCCTGCAAATCCTACCTAGAACAGCAGGTGGGGCTAGATCCGCGTCCTCCAGACCCATCTCCTCTCTCCCTGACCCCTGCCTGCTGGACTGAGACCCTCTCTCGCCTCCGCAGTGCATTCCGTACGCAGTGAACAGGGCACGGGAGACCATACTCCATGTGGTCCAGATGAGATTTGTGCCCCGGGATGAGAGAGAACCCCACCTAGTAGACGACCCCACGTGGGCGGAGGACGAGGACCCCTCACCTTGCCGGATTGACACCTGGGCTTGGGGAGCCTTGCCCGTGCGGTGCGCGCCCTCCTCGGTGGAAGGGAAGACCAGCCAAGGCAAAGAAAGCTCCTTCCCACCTCCCGCCCCCGCCCGGCCGCGTCTCTATTCTCTTCAGCGCCTCTCTGGGCTGCTCCTGCCTTAGTTCCTCTGTCTCCTGTGCCCGCGTCTCGCCATCAGTTTTCTTCCCTCTCCCGCCTGGGGTTCCCATCTGAGAGCTGGGCCCCAGCCCCAACCTCCAGTTCCCTACTTTAAACCTAGGCCTACCGTCGCCAGGCTTCAGTTCCAAGCTGACCTTCCCCAGTCCTGGCCTCTGCTTTCTCGCCACGCACCTGGGGCTCCCCTCTGTGGCCCATAGCCCCAGATCCAAACTATGGCCAGGTGCCAAGTGGCCCAGCGGCTGGGAGGGGGAGGCCGAGTTGCTGGGTGAGATTTGGGTGGGCCGCACCCGTGTACTCCCGCAGGGCCTGGACCCCAAGGATCAGGAGAGCCAGGATCTTCAGAAGGGGTCTCACCCTGCGCCTGGACTTCTCAAGGCCAAGTCCCAGGTGGTGAGGAAGCCCATGTTGCTGCCAAAAGCGCCGAAGATGGCTCCTGGTGTGAGCATGTGGAAACCAGCCACCCAGGAGCTGCTTAGCCCTGCTGAACCTCAACAGGAGGACAAAGAGGGCAGCACCTCTCGTCCCATCCAAACGGGTGCCCTAGAACCGCAGGTGATGGTGGCACAGCTAACAGAAAAGTCAGGTCTCCAATATCATCACTCCACTGCAAACACCTGCCCCATCCTGGGCCCTGAACCTCAGGCAGTGGGAATCTGCCTGCCTTCTGTCTGTCTGCCAGAAATAAACACCTGACTTGCTTTAAGAATTGGCCCCATGTGTGTCAGTTTCTTCCAAGTGTGTGTTCTCACGGAACTGGAGAGGGGCAGTTGTCCCACAGGCCTAGAAGAAGACAGAACACTGACTCCTGGGAATAATTGCATTACCACCCTTAGGGGACCCTGCTTTAGGGCCAAGGTGACTCCCCAGCAGAGGCAGTCTGGAGAG